TTTAGCTAGAAAATTCAATTTCTAGAGCCAGCTCTTCAGCTGATGTGAAGCAGCACAGCTGTGCAGAAGTGAAAGGATCTGTAGGCTTTCCTATGGCAGGGGAGTCAATAGGCAGGCATGGGGATCTGTCCGTTGAGGTCCCCAATGTGCAACTCTTCGGTGTTTCCTGGGAATTTTCCTGAAGGAAGAAAGAAGCCAAGGATGGGTCTGAGCTGCAAAGCTTATAGGTGAATTGAGACGATTGCATTGGTTTGGGGTCATTTCTACAAACAACCACTCAGGCCTAGGAGGTTCCCTGCACCGAGCTGCAGCGCTCTGCACAAAGGGAAAGTAAAATGGGAAAAGGGAAAAGAAACGGCGAGTGCTGATGACAAGCCTCTCTGGGCTGTAGGAGGGGGCAAGTTCATGGGGACGTGTGGCCTGTGGTCAAAGCACTAGTCTGGAGTCCTGGCTCTAACTCCTAGTCCTAGATTTCATAGATCTCAGACATTAGGGGCTGGAAGGCACCTCATGAGACCATTGGGTCCAGCCCCCCGCCATCGGTGGGAAGTTGCTTGAGGTGCATCGGTGGATGCACGCCAGATTTGGTTCACTTTGTCGGCCACCGCATTGCACTGGTGGCTCATGTTCATCTTGTGGTCAGTCAAGACCCCCAAGTCCCTTTCAGTCATGATGCTAGCAAGCGTAGCACTGCCGAGCTTGGAAGTATTTTGGGGGGTTCTTCCTACCGAGGTGCAGCACCTTGCACTTCTCTGTATTAAAGGCCCAGATCCTCATGTGAAATATGCCACTGGTGCTTCATTGCAAGGGAAAGGCTTTGCAGACCCCTGGATATCTGTGGAAGGATGCTAATTTATTCATCACCTAGCTGAGCTGGAGGGGGCATCGCCGGTGGTAAGAGTTGCCTTTAGACTCCAGCAAGGCTCAATGAGTCCTTACCAGCGCAGGCTGCACGTGTGCCACCTTGGCTGCAACACGCTTATTGGGTGGCACCTACTTTGAGGTCCTGATCTAAAACCTGCTTAAATCAGCTTGTTTTCCATTGCTGTCAGTGGGTGTCCGGCAAGGCCCTTCAGTGAGGCTGACTAACACGGGATCAGCGATGGAGAGTGAGTCGCAGCCCATGAAATCACCATAACTTGCCGTCCCGCCATATTCGGACTCCGGTGGAGGGCTCTTGAAAATAAAGCGAGACCTGATGCAATGAAGAGAGGGGCAGCAAGACTTTGCTTTGGACAAATTGAGCCTTGTTTTCTGATGGCGATGTATTTATGAGCGGCTCGTGGTTTCTTTACGCCGATCCTATATTCAGTCACTCAAAAGCAGTGCTCTCCCTGCATCGTTGCATGCTATGGATTGGTTTTGAACCAGGGGTTAGACAAATTCATGGGGGACAGGTCCATTCAGCAGAGCAGTCAGGGCTGTATCCTTTCATATGCCTAAACCAAGGATGGTGGAGGCCAGAGAGGTCTCAACAGGGGATGGATCAACTCCAGACCTGCCTTGCTCACAAACTTTGTGTCTAAAGCATCCACAGCTTCCCACTGCTGGGCACAGGGCACTGAGCTAGTTGGCACCCTGGTTGGCATCGCTTGTGTTGTGACTGGGAACAGGACAACTTGAGTATTTGACACTGGCCAAGTCTGAGGGGTGTTGTGAGAGGTCAGAGCAGGCACATGGCCATGTTTTCTGATGGGCTGAGCATTGCTACTAGGATTGCTGGCCCAGGGACCTTTAAAAGACGAGTTCCCCAGAGCGTCTGGGTTTGTGACTTTGACATTTGCACAGGTAAAACCCAGTGGGCTTGACCACTGGAGACCGAAGGAGCAAGCCCTTTTGCAGCCTTCACTGCTCTCAGTGAGGAAAGGGAGGTCTCGGCTTGCAAAAGCGGGGTTGACCTTGTTGGCAGCCAAGAAAGGTGCAGGTGCAGGTGTGGTGTGACTACAGGCACATCACAACCCCACACTGGTCTTTGGGCTATCCATTACTCTATGCAGCACCCATAAAATCATAGGAAAGCAGGGCTGGAAGGGACCTCACGAGGCCATCTAGTCCAGCCCTCTGCTCAAGGCAGGATCAGCCCTGACCAAACCACCCCAGCCAAGCGTCTGTTCAACCTGCTCCTCAACACTGCCAAAAATGGGGATCCCACAGCTCTTCTAGGTGCCTGTCCCAGTGCTTGACCACTCTCCGAGTCAGAAATTTCCTCCTGATCTCCAACCTACATTTCCTCTGCTGCAGCTCGAGGTCGTTGCTCCTAGTCCTGTCCCCTACAGCCACAGAGAAAAGCCCATCGCCGTCCTCTCTGTAAATAGCCCTTCAGATGTTCGAAGACTGCTATCGACACCCCTCGTGTTTGCTGTCCTGCACTGGACTCTTTTCCAAACCGTCCCCATCTTTCTTGACGTGCAGCGCCCAAAACTGGACACCGGTCTCCAGGGGAGGCGTCACTAGTGCTGACAGGAGTCGAGGGTTGCTCCCTTTGATCGGGAGGTGACCCTCCTGTTGATGCACCCCGGTATCCTGTTGGCCTTTTTTTTTTGGCAAGTGCAAGAAGGGCTCCCTGTCACGTGTTTGGATTTTGGGGGGGCCTGTTCAAGGCTCCTTGGCTGAGATAAGGCACCTGCGTGCGTGCGGCGTGTGCGCGTGCGTCACACTCGCTCTGTGACGCAGACCTACCTGACTTGCTGCAAAGGGACTTATTTGCGGCTCCATTTTTAATCTCCCTGGGCTTTGACAGTGTCAGTCCTGAAAAGCACCCAGCCCTTTATTCCAGATTGCACCATCACCCCCTTCCCAACCTTTCCTGGATCATCACAACGCGGAGAAAACCTTGCGTAAGCTCATTCATGAGCTCACCTCAGGCCTTTTGCAACCTGGACCCTGGTGATTCACCCTCACAGCTCCCCACGGACATAATACCTAGTCACTGTCCCCATTTTACTGATGGGGACACCGAGGCAGGGAGAGGTGAAGTGACTTGTTCAAGGTCACGCTGTGAATCAAGGACTCTCCAGCCTGGGCTGCTCGTGCCTTTGCGCTCATGCAGTCCGAGACTGGTGGAAATCTCCGTTGCTGACATTAATGCTATTGCCACTTTCCATCTGGGGACACTCAGTACCTCCCCTTGCCCATTATCTCTGGCCCAGCAGCACTGTGGGGCCCCAGGAAGACATGGCTGCATCCAGATGTTACAGGGATGGGACCCTACAGAGGCAGAGCCTCACCCCCCACCCACGTCTGGCCCCTTGCATCGTGCTCCCTTCACCTGTCTGCATGGCAGTGACACCCCCTGAGGGCTCAAGTCCCAAATCGGACTGTCCCTGAATGCCCTGGGAGCCAAGTCCGCACCCCTGACTTCATGGGGGCTGGTGCAGCAGCTCACCTTGTAGTTGCAATGTAGTAGTTGCAACGTGCTTCACCTGGAAGACACACAGGCTCCACTTTGGTGCACAACTCTGTGCACTTCGAAGCAGCTTCGTCACATCTCTTGAACACCGGTTCCTAAATCCAAAGGCCGTAATGCCTCTGGGCCTGGCCCAAAGCTCGGCAGACTGCCTGGCTTTCAGTGAAGCTGGTTCCAACCCTGGGCATAAGGAGATGATTATGGGAGTCTCAGCAAAGCGATGCTTTCCTGTGCGCACAAGTCCACGTGCACCCTGAGCGGGCGGATTCCTTCCTAAATCCTTGCTTTGTTAGGCAGCTGCATGGCCTAGTCCCTCTCTCTTCGCTCGCGGCTGACATTCAGGAGATTTGCTATGTTAGATCTGCAGGCACGTCAGTGAAAATGTCAGCGGTTACATTAAAAGAAGGAGAAAATTGTGGCTTTGTGCAGGGCCAGCGGGGAAAGGCAGAGCTGGGAAAGCTGGCCAAGGGTTTCCACTCCAAGCCCCGCTCTGCCTAGAGCTGGGACGTGCTGAGCAGGGCGAGGGACAGGGGCTGGGATTTTGCTCCTGATTTAGGAGATATTAAGCGATGGGTTCTCATCTCCCGGCATTTGTAGGAAGCATCTCCTGAGTGTAACATCCTTCCCTCCAGCTTTCTCTCAGCTGCTCCATGAGGTTGTACAAAGCCGCTGCTGAGAGGCAGGGGGGAATGGGAGAGATGATTCATTTTGGAACTGGGTTTAATGTGAGGTGCTGAGATAGGGCTCATGTGGATGTCCCCGGCCAGGACTCCACGGTGCAAAGCCTCCCTGGGGAGGCTCCCCCCAGCCGCCCGCCCGGCTCCCAGGGATCTTCCAGGGCTTTTCTTCATTGCTCTCACAAGGGGGACTGAAGTCTTGTTATACTGCCCAGTCCTCCAGCTTCACCCGGGTGGGTAATAAATATGTGTTTGGTTCGTTTCGTTGTAGGGGATTTTTTTTTTAACATGTAAGATTTAAGTTTCTTTTTTTTCTTTTAAGAGTTTGGCTCTCGTGCGGGAGTTTGGATCCTGGGTTTTGAGCCGAGCCCATTTCTAACCCATGTTTCCAAGCAGCTTTGCACACTCACATGCCAAAACGACTGGTGGAACGACTGAAATCAGCGGCCTGACAGCGGACTATCCAAACCCGTCTTCTTGTGATTGCGCTACAAGAGCAATTAAATCTCTTTCAAGCTGCTCCTAAGCCTAGGGCACAACCGAGCTGCAAAGCTGCAGCCGGCTGGGAGGGGGTGGGGGAAGGAGACAAAAATCCTTGTGTTGTGGCATGAACTCTGCAAGCTGCCTGTGCACGCTTAGGGGCTGTGTCTGGGTCAGGGGGCTGCTCCGGGGTCCACTGTGCATGTGCTACCCCAGAGACAAGGCAAGCGGGATGTGTTGCAAAGCAAGAGGCTCAGTCCCCTCCGCAGAGTTGGGATACTTGCTGGGTACATGAGTAATAAAAAGAAAGCCGCCCACTCTGTCCTAGGCAGAAGGAAAAAAAAAAGTTGCATTTGAAGGGAGAGCCTGGAAAGGGTGGGGTTACGGAGGGGAGGTGTGTCAGGGAGATCTCCACTTATTTATAAGCAACGGCAGGTCTGCCAGCCACACATCAAGCTGAACAGGGCTCAGCCACCTTTCTGCCAGAGCAGAGCAAGATCCCAGTCACCATGGGCAGGCAAAAGGAGCTTCTTTCTAGGATCGACGGGCTGCTGAGGATCCGGAGCAAGCTACTGAGGCAAGCGCTGGCCGAATGCCTGGGGACTCTGGTCCTAGTGGTAAGTCCGTCTCTTGGGATGCTTTGTAATGGGATGAATTGAGGGACTGAGCTCAGATGCAACGGGACCCGGAGCTGGAAGTGGCCAGAGGACCCTGGTACCATACCCCTCGGGGGGGGCTGGCATAGCAAAACTTTCCCCAGTGCTGTGACAGCATTTCTCAAAGCCGGGAGTTTCCGAGTGGCTTGCAGCTTGGGCCAAGCGGGTCGGGATTTCGCAGGAGAGCAGAAGCTCAAGGAGCAATTGCTAGAGCATCCGCTGCAGGGTTAGAGGGTGCTCCAGAGCTAGCGTGGCAGGACAGCACTCCGGCTCTGGGTTTCGGGGCCTTTCCCTGGTGCTAAAACACCCTGAGCATCGCAGACCCTGCGCAGCGAGGAATTCTGTTCCTCCTCTAGGATCATTTGCTTTGCAATACAGGGAGATGGTTTTCAGGGGTCCTGAATGCTTCTTACCCATGTGGCAGGGCCCGTCTGTCACTCAGCACAGTTTTCAAAGGAAAAGAGGACAGAAACCCCCCAAGTGTTTCCCGCTGGGATGCCAAGGGCATCGTGCTGATGAGCTCAGATGTGAGTGTGCAAAGTTAGGCGCTCACATCTTTGCCGCGTGGGGCTGGGAAGGAATTTGCTACACGTATCAGAGGGTTTTTGGGAGGGCTGCAGCCCAGGTTGGGGGTTTGGATAGGGGTGCAATGGTTTTCCTTCTGGGACTAAAAGCTGGAGGGTCCTGGCTGGAGGGTCTTGCTTCTCCACTCAGGGTCTCACCGATGGAGACATATGGGATCGGGAAGGAAAGCTCCCCCGTGGCCAGATTGATGCAGACTGTGGGGGCTTTTGCCTTCCTGTGTAGCAGGGGGCACAGCTCTCTTCCTGGCATCTCTCAAGTGTACCTCAGCAAAGCAATTCCTGTCCTGGCTGCAGCAGGACTTTGGCAGTGCCTTGCCTCCCTGCTTTTGGGGGTGCTCGGGGTTTTGAGCCTGGTCGGTTTGGAGGAGAGTTGCTTGTGCAGTTTTAAGAAGAGACACTGGTCTAGGATGGCTTTGTTTGGCCTGATCCTGCCTTGAGCAGGGCACTGGATCGGTGCCCTCCCGCAGTCCCCTCCAACCCTGCTTCCCTCCGGTCCTGCGATCTGTGTTTCGGTACCTAAAGAAACACCCTGATTTGTGGAAGAGCCGAGCGCTCCCGGCTCACGCTGAAATCAGTGGCCGTTTTGGACGGTAGAACAGGCCGACTCTTTGGGGGCGCTGAGCAGGGGACCATGTACCTACCGGCGGGCTCCTGGCGTATCCATGCTGATTTGTCCAAATCTGCTAAAGAAGGGAGGCAGCCGCCGTAGGCGAGTGCAATTTATCTGGATTGCAGGTTTTCCCGCATGCATCAGTTCATCTTTGCCCAGAAGATGCTAGATCCGATTCTAACCTCCCAGGGCAAGTGCATCTGTCCAAATTGCTCTGGTTTAACCCCTCTCAGAATCGGTGGGGAAATTATTCCATGGCTGAAAGAGGGAGGGAAGCTGGATATAACTGTGCATGCTTCCAGCAAGCTGGCATCAGAGGGAAGACAGGGCAGAGGTGCTAGCCAGGGGTCTGATCCAAGACAGAGGCTTTGCTTGAGAGAGATGGTAAAATGCTCTGCCCTCCCCGAAGAGCAAGCTGCGTTTCCCACGGGACAGGGCTGGGATAGGCAGCAAGCCCAGCTTTAGCCCTAACTGTCGGCAAAGAAGAGGTGTTGATTTCCTTGGGAGGGATCTTGCGGGAGAAAGGCAGGCAGGTGCTCCTTGAAAGACTGTTTTCTACCTGTGGGTCGCTTTAGCTGTTGGAGCAGGGACAGAAACCTGAGTGCATACCAGCTGCTCAGATAAAGCCCCCGCCAGAAGCCCTTGAAACTCATAAAAGCCTTTTCATTCACTTCAGGGGGGTTTAGATCATGCCACCTCGGGAAAATCCATGCCATAATACTAGTAAATGAATGGCCTTGCAGGTCTTCCTCCAAGGAAAGGGGGCAGCAGGACCCCTAGCAGCAGAATGGATCCCTTGGGTAACAGATTCACGGTCCACTGGTTTGGACATGGGGCTTTGCTGGGGATTAGCAAAAAGCACCATGGTGCATTTAGAGCTGGGTACACACAGGACACCCGACTCCTTCGGAAAGGGCTTGTCGCAATTGCATAAGAGCTGGCGCAGGTCCTCCCAGAAGGGGTTTTGCACCGGAGCGGGGTAGGCAGGTCCCGGGGTCTGGGCATGTTTCATGTTACCTTCTGCTTAGGGAGCGGGGAGCCCTGGAGCCCCGGGTGTGGAGATCAAGCACCGGCTGCTGCGTAGCACAGGCTGTTTCTTCCCTCCTTCTCTATTGGATTATAAGCACCATCAGAGGCTGCCCTTAATTACTTGCACCAAGATATTGTGGCTTTTAAAGAAGAGGCAGGAACTGATTCACATAGGCTGGTGATTTCCTTCCCAAATCCCCATCTACCTGTCTCCCTCTGCAGTTTGCTCTAAAACCCAGATCACCTCTTGCTGGTGGTGTTTGCCTGGGACATAAGGGTCAAAGATAAAGCTGGTCTATTTTACCAAATTATCCCTTTCCTATAGGTAGCAGTTAAGCTTGGTTAATCCTGGATACTGGTACCCTAACGCTGCCTCCAGGGGCATCAGCCACATGGATTTTGCTTCCAGTCCTTTCTCACCCCTCTGTTTAGTGTGAATATGTGCCGGCACACTTGTGAGTCTGGGGATGTTCAGTGGAGGGCTACAGAAATAATGTGTGTGTGTGTGTGTGTGCATACGTGTGTGCATACATGTGTGTGCGTGCGCATGTATGCGTTTGTAAATTCGGGTTTACTAACGGGGATGTTCACTGGAGGGCTACAGTAATAATGTGTGTGTGTACACACGTGTGTACATGCATGCATGCATGCGTGTGTGTGTGTGTGTGTGTGTGTGTGCGTGCATGTATGTGTTTGTAAACCCAGGTTTACTAACTAGTCCTCATTTATAAGGCTCAGAGTTAGATGAACTTGCCCCTGAATACTGAGAATAAGTTTAGGGAAAAATCTGCATAGATTTCAATGGGAGCCGGATCATACTCTTACCCTGGGCAGCTGCTTGAGAATCGCTCTTTGGAATATATACGATTTATGACACCCCTGGAAAGTGGCACAAACTCCAAATCTTTAATCAAGATCTCCCCTGCACTTTGTTCCTATAATCATCAGGCCACTCTCTCTGCCTTTTAGATGCCTAAAACAATTGCAAACCCCTTCAGCGATCTGCCTCGTCTGCAACAAATAGGCATGTGCCTGGTACAAAAATCTGGACAGGGACACAGAACTTGAACATTAAAAGCCCCCATCTTCACAAATAATCAGGGAACTCATTTAGCAAAAGAAGCCAAGAGATGTAATTCCCTCAACAGTCTAATTTCCTAATCTTTTAACTTCAATATTTTGGTCAAGGGAAGAATGGCACAACCAGAGCTCAGGGAAGCTGTGCCTAGGTTCCCTAATAATAATAATAATAATAATAATAATGCTTCGGCACTTTATGTGCTAATAGGATATTCTGCCTTTAAATTTTCTTACACTCTTCTTTATTTTCTCGCTTTCCTCTTTGCATCAAGAGTGACCCTTACTGGCAGTAATAAAGCATTGCAAACATTGGACGGATTTTTTATATGTCATCTGCACTCATAGTAGAGCTGATATATTTTATTAGACCAACAAGATTTTTGCAGAAAATAATTGCCATATAGTTAGAGCAGTGGTTTTCAACCTGTGGTTTGTGGACTCCTGAGGGCCCGCAGGCTATGTCTAAGAGGGCTGTGAAAAATGATGATGATCCGTGAGAAGTATGTGAGCACCCACACTTCCAATGCAGAGAGGTCTGCACCTCCATTTGGACTTTTTTAAGGATCCGCAAATGAAAAAAAAAAAAAGATTGAAAACCACTGAGTTAGAGCAACTAATTCAAGACATGCCACAAGCATGGCTGTTTTTTAAACCCAGATTAAAAGAAAGAAAGGTCTCGTCTGATTTATTGCTGGAACTGATTGCGGTTTTAAATACCAGAGCTAGTGAAAATGTCAGCCTTTGTGTCCTTGAGAGGCATATCTAGCTGTTATGAAAGTCTGCCTTTCTAATTGATTTGAGCATGCTGGATTAATGAGGGTTCACTGGCGTATAGATACCCGGAGGGAACAAGAGGCGTGTAGAACTGGACTCCCTTGATCTTTCTTCAAACAGGACTGTCTTGATCAAAGACCAGACTGTGACAGCTTGCAAGCAGCAGGGACAAGAGCGAATCTCCTGTACTTGGCCGGCAGTATAGGGCCTATGGATCACAGTAAAGCGGTGTCAATTCCACCCATTACAGCCCATCGTGCACTCAGACACCAGGCAACTCCTGACGATGGATGAGCTCCGTACAGGACCTGCTAGGCAGGCCTGCAAAGCAGAGACCCGGCTGCTTTGGGTTTCTCTTGCAAAAAAAGAAGTCATTTAGTGATGCGGCAGGGACAGCCCACTCCTCCTGCTTTCAGGATCTCAGCGCCCCTCACATGCATGGCTGAGACCCCCGGCCCTACCCTGGAGGCAGGCAAGCATGCTTTCTCTCGTTGCAAATAGGCTGTGAAGGTCCAAAGAAGTCAGCTGCTGTTGTCTGGCCCCTTCGCTGTTTCCCTCAAGCACAATCCAGGCCTCAATGATTTGACCAAAACCCCCGCAGGAAAGCCTGGGGCTGAGCTTGCAACAGGAATGAAGTCTCCCCAGCCTGGAGGGCGTTTGCTTGAGATCCCCGGGGAATGAGTGATCTCGCTTCAGGAAGGGAGGGGGAAATAAATAGCCTTTTTGTAACACAGGCTCTTGCTGTGCCAGCACGGCTCTCTGCAGACGGCCAGCGCGAGATTTGTGCCGCTGCATGGGCTCTGGCTAAACCTTTCAACCGTGCAGAAACCATGGGCTTGTCAGCTAGCACGATGCAGACACAGCCATTGCAAATCCCCTCGGGG